GATGCAGTGCATACTTCTCTGGGTGAAGATTCCTTTCGGTTTTGCTCATCCTACACACACACTCACAGATCGACATTGCCACGCTTCACCAAATGAGCAAAATGGGATTGAATCTTCCCATAGAACATGGAAGTATCCACTACCACAACATGGAAATGTACATTGCCAAAGACTCTCTCTCTCTCTCTCTCTCTCTCGCTCGCTCGCGGCGAAATTTGCATCTGACAGCTCCTTAGCCCATACTCACACCGGGATTTCTTTTCAATGTATTTGTCCGTCGCGGTGTATCTTCCTATGTTCTTGTGGAAGATTCTCATTTTGCACATTGGCAGGCTGCTCAGTTGATGTAGACATGAGTTCATATCCAGCTGCGACCACAATAAAGTAGTTATGATTTACAAAGGATCTGATGGTGTGCTGATGCCTTGGTCGATGCCCCCCCCCCCCTTCATGTTCTAAAACAAACACCCTCAATGTTCTCGGGGCCAGATAATGGTCGCGCCTGGGGTGGGCCTGGCGTGAAGAGGATACGTGAGGGGGAGGAGGAGGAGGAGGAGGAGGAGGAGGAGGTCGCGCTAGGGGGAGGAGGAGGAGGAGGAGGAGGTTGTGCGAGGCGGACGAGGGGTCGCACAAGGGGTAGGAGGAGCTCCAAAGAGGGGGAGGAGGAGGTGGCACAAAGGTCGTGTAAGGGGGAGGAGGTCGGAAGACGATGTGCGAGGGGGAAGTGCATATCGTGCAAGGACGAGCAGGAGATCACGCGGAGGTTGTGTGGAGGTCGGACGAGGTGGGAGGAGATCGCACACGCGGGATTAGGAGGTCAAAAGAGGACGCATGAGGAAGAGGAGGTAGGACAAGGAGGAGGAGCTGGAGGAGGCCAGAGGAGAGGTGGGAGAAGGTCGCGCAACGGGGAAGAGAAGGTTCCAACACCATGTGCAAGGGGGAAGTGCAGGTCACGCAAGGACAGGGAGGAGGTGGCACGAGGGGGAGGAGGTCGTGGAAGGGGCAGGAGCAGGTTGCACAATGGGGACAGGTTGCAGGAGGTCGTGGGGGAGGGGGAGGGGAGGAGGGGGTCGCGAGGGAGGACGAGGGGTCGCAAATTCGCACAAAGGAGAGGAGTTGTGCGAAGGAGAGAGAGAGAGAGAGAGAGAGAGAGAGAGAGAGAGAGTCCACCTTTTTTGGGGGGGGTAGAGAGTCCGCCTTTTCTTTGGGGGGGAGGTTAATTTGCCAAATACCCCCATAAGTTGAGATATATGTCAAGGTGTCCCTGAAAGATCTGGGCACAGTGGAATAGCCTTTTGGGATGGCATCTTTGTGTTATGCCCCTGTCAGGCGCGTGTGCAAATTTGCGGTCTCAGCCTTCACGTTTGCGCCTTGGCCTCTTGCAATTGCACCTACGAAGAGTTGACACCTACACTTGCAAAGTTGGATGGCATCCGGTAGGGGTACATCACAAAGATGGGGTCCAACCGATGTTTGGGGTGTTTTGCAAAATATTTTCGTCGTTGTCCTTCGCCGCAGCGTAGCTGCAGCTGGTCCACTTCTTTTTATAAACAAAGACACAGTTCCATCTCTTCTCGGGGGCGTCGGTCCGGTTGCTTATCACAAGCAAGCATGTTTCCGCAACATAGAAGAGGGTAGAGATAAAAGGGAAAGAGGGGACATGTAAATATAGGGGAATAGGCTGGAACCAGATATGGGCTTTACACATAGGTAATTTAGGGTCTATGTGTGATGAGGGATATTAGAAACAGGCAGCAGGATGTTATGAGGTCTGAGGAACTGTTAGGAGCACCCCCACCCCCGCACTGCGCCTATCTGAGGGCTGCCCTACTGAGTGACTGGGTGCTGCCAGTAAGCCTCCCGGCCAGTAGGGGAACCCCCCTGAAAGGCTAAGGATAGGGGGGAGGGTTGCCCCAAAACAGGCCTCCCCCTGCCAGGCGTGTAGGGCCACAAGGGATGTGCTGGCCCTCTGTCTTGTCTACTCTCCCCCGTCCTCGTTTCAGATGCAAGAACATGCTTGCCGGTGATGAGCAAGCGCATTGAGCGCCCCTGAATAAAACAGGCATTTTGCTGCAAAAAAAAAAAAAAGGCTTAGGGGTGGTTTTATCCTTGCGGCCTAGTCACCTGACCAAGGGGAAGACCGTTGCGAAACACACTCCTCCCGAAGCCATGGCTCTTCTTCCACGGTTCCGCTGCTGGTCAGGAGGCTTACTAGCTACACCCAGACACGCACCAGGGTGATCCCAAAAGGGCGAGGCCCAGGGGGGGTGTTCCTAGCAGTCTCACAAGCCTCTGATCGCCATCTCAATGTCTTCCAATTTTGATTGTGTACATCCTAATACACTATTTGTGCATAGCACGACAAATGTGTTCTCGCCCCTCCGCGTTCACCCGAACGGTTCGTGAATGTGTTCGGGCGAACATATTTTTCTCCTTAAAAATAATAATAATAATAATAATAGTAACAAAATTGGTTTTTTATTTTAACTCACATTTGGCTAAGAATTTGAACAAGACTCCATGGCAAAAGTTGCTTGTATTGTTGTTTTACATGACATATATTTGTTTTCAGATTTGTCTGAGATTTTTTATTAAAAATTATCTTTTTTTTGTTCATGTTCGGAGGGTTTTGGGCGCTCGTTCACGTTTGGGAGAACATGTTCATGTTCGCCTCGAAACGCGAGCACGATGCTACGCAGCTCTGTTTCTTGTTCCCGCCCACCGGGCGTTTGAAAGCGACCTATTTTGCATGTACAATCGGCTACTCTTCTCTCTTTGTGCTTTCCAAAGATCTAATAAGCCTTCTACCTTCCATTCTATCTATTGTGCCGTGTATTTACACCTTGTTTCCATCCACATCCGTCCATATCCTCGGTGGTCCAACCGGAAATCCGGTTCTGTTTCTTGTTCCCGCCCACCGACCGTTTGAAAGCCACCTATTTTGTATGTACAATCGGCTACTCTTCTCTCTCTATGCTTGCCAAAGATCTAGTAAGCCTTCTTACCTTCCATTCTATCTATTGTGCCGTGTATTTACACCTTGTTTCCATCCACATCCGTCCATATCCCCGGTGGTCGAACCGGAAATCCGGTTGGGCCCAAAAACAGGCTCAATTGTATTTTATTTTATTTTATTGATGATGGGGTTGGACTGCGCTTGTTGAGATCTCCCCAAATCCGCAGAGATACTTATGATATGAGAACTTTTTTCCTGGGGGCGGGGGGGGGAGGGGATAGTGGGTTGGTCGCTATTTCCCGCGAACTCCCGCTGTTTTCTGCGCGCCTGCTATTTCTTGCGGGCGCCCATACCCTCTCTCTCTCTCTCTTTCTCTCTCTCTCTCTCTCTCTCTCTCTCTCTCTCTCTCTCTCTCTGGCTTGCGCGTGGGCCCGCTGTTTCCCGCACGCGCCCATACCCTCTCTCTCTCTCTCCCCCTCTCTCCCTCTCTCTCTCTCCCCGTCTCTCTCTCTCTCTCTCTCTCTCTCTCT